GTGAGGTGAATTGTACAAAATGTCATAGTCCATTAATAACACCAAAATTCAGAAAAGTATGCCTTATTCAGACCTCAGCATTTTCAACATAAGGAAGACACACAATGGTGGTAGGAGTGATGGTGGTGGTGGTACTGTGTGTGTGTGTGTGTGTGTGTGTGTGTGTGTGTGTGCGCGCGCGCGCATGTATATTAATTGACATTTCTCAAGCAACTTCTATAGATTCCTAAAATCAAGACTTGTTTTTATGTGTGGGCCTACAGGTGTGTGTGTGTGCAAAGGTGTACACACTCAGTTGAGTCCATTAGAGGGGGTGTTTCTTAAATTAAGTTAGTAGTTCAAGGACAACTGATTGAATGCACAGTATCTATCAGGTACTCCTCTGAGTAGCTGAGGACATTCCAATAAACAAAACAGTACTCTTGCCCTCAGAGAGTGTTATAAGTACATTGTCTCAGCCACAAGATTTGTCTAACCAAATTTCAACTGTCATTTTGAAGAAAACAAAGATGTGGCAGATTCTTAATCCCCTTAGAGAGTCTCCTTAGACACCATTTACAAATCATTCTTTTTTTGTACCTATAATATAAAATAATTAATTGATGATCTCACCAAAGTTTACATAGACACAGAATGCATTTTATAGAAATCACTGAGTATATTTCCCCAATCTTTGCTGAGGCAATGACATTGACTGCACTTCCAAATATGTGGTAAAACTGTAGGACCTTGCAAAAAAAAAATAGTTGTAAGGACTTATGTCCTACTTCAAACTTAATCCTGTCTATATATTTCGTCTTTTTAATCTATGTCCGTGAAAATGTGAATTAACAGTTACCTCTCAACAAAGACTATCTGTTTTTATTCAAACATGCATTTCATAACTAAAATCAGAGATGATCAATTTAAGTGTGCATTTATTGAATGCTTGGTGTGCATGACATATGGTTTCTGATTTCATTCTCACACCAGCCAGTTCCAAGCAGTTCTATTTTACAGATAAGCAAACAGGCTCAGGGAGGCTAAATGGTGCATGTAACGTGTGGCCCAGTGAAAAAGCTCAGTATTTGAATTCACTTTGGTTGCTAGCATCCAAGTTTCACCTAATTTCTTTGTCATCTTTAAAAAGCACATTAAAAAAATAAATAATAAAATGTATCAAATACTTAGGATGTGCATACACAATTTTCATCTCTCCTTAAGAGAAAATGATCAACTTTGGAATACTTTTACAAAATTGACACCAATTTTAAATTATTTTCAAAAATATCATTAAAATGCAACAGACAACTTCCCAGTCCAACTCTGCTATTTCACAGATATGACATCAAGGATAACAATAATTACAATACTAGAAGTCCTTTTTTCCATAAAGGGAAAAGAACTCCTTAGAGGCAGGTTGAGGAGATGGACAGAGCCCAAGGCTACTACTGTAGAGAGTGAAATCTTGAACAATGACCATGATTAGCTCCCTCAGAAAAACCACTGGCAAGTTGGTTTTGGAAGATTTGCACATGTAAGCAATATGACATGTACATATACATTAAATTATCTTGATCCCATGCATTCTATTGAGGTTTTAGCCTATCACAAAGTAAAGACAGTTTTTTAGGTAATATAGGATTCATCATGAATAGCCTTCTAGTGAATCTAAATCATGAACTTTGGGGTCTTAGTAGTGGTAATGGAATTTTACACCTTTAACTTAAATTATATAATTGCATAGACTTTGTCTTTATTTTGTACATTTCAGGTCCCCACTATGTCCTATATAGCCAAAAGGATACATTTAATACACAAGAGCCATGCTGTGCAACTTTAAGAAGAAAACTATACAAACATGATTTTTATTTTCTCCTAAATTCTCTTCTATGTTTTGCTAATGGTTTTTCTATACTTTTTAGCATAAATTCATTATTCACAATTTCTGGTCTGGAACAACATTTTATATATAAAATGCTATACTTCAGAAGATCTGTCCTGATAAGACCTAAGACAAGGAACCTGACTACTAATGTAAGGTCACTTGCCACAATCTCAGGAAGCAAATACAAATTAATTAATCCAAGAATAACCATACAAATAGCCATCCTTAGAGGGCCTATTATGCTTGGGTTTTGCATAACATTACTTTTAATTCACAAAACAATCCAACAAATTAGATATTATCATTCCCATTCCACAAATGAGAAAATTGAGGGCCGGAGAGATTCCAAGTATTGCCCAAAGGACACAACAATTAAATTGCTGGAGGAACACATCTGCAATGTTAAAAGCAAATCTTGTAATACCTAGCAGATTTGGGCCTGTGCTTCTACCTATTCAAAAATGCTCCTCAGTGGACACCAGCCTCTGCCTTGATATAAACTGGTCAGGTAAATCTCCAGTTCTACCATAGCCACAGTTCTTTCAATAGCCCATGAATAACTTGCTCTCAATGCAGGACCAGCTCTGGCTGCCAAGTCAAAGGAGCTTCAACCCAAGCTGAGTCTGCGTTCCTAACTGTAATGCTGGTGAAATGATTCACCACATGAAAAACATCCTTAGATGCCCTATTTGTGGAGGAAGGTGGGAGGACACATCTCAGCTCACAGTTTTAAACAGATTCTCTTTCCCTGTCTTCCCTTCCCTCTCTCCTTCTCTCTCAGGAATGCTGCATGTGTGTGTGTGTGTGGAAGGTTCAGTGACAGGTGCAATGTCAAAAAAAAAAAAAAGAAATCTAACTGGAATAAGCACTGAGGAAATGTTGATGTTAAGAAAAAAATTTAAAAAACAAAAATAAAAACAAAACCTCCCCCAATGGGCAGACCCATCCTAATCCTAATTACAAGGCCAGTATCCCATATGATGCTTAGAGTTGAACTACAAAGTAGAAAGCATCAGAGTACTTTTTGTTCCCCCTTCTTACTTTTAAGTCTGTTGTGCTAAGTTGTAGCTGATCAGGACCTTAACATAACTTGAGTCCTTCCATGACCACAAATTGTGAACTGACAGTGGTCATATACAACGAAGCAAGCAAGCAAACAAACGAAATAATGCCGAGAATTATGGCAAAAATATGCAGAAGACTTTAGGGAAGAGCTCAAGAAATAAATAAGAGTCCTCTGCAGGAGTGTTTTCATAGGTTGGGAAAGGGATTACCTGATCTGGGTCCCAACTGGAAACAGGTGCCCAGAAAAATAAATTAGAGAAGCGCTCAGCTGTTGGCTATTTTGGTTAAGGAGTAATAAAAAGGATAAGAATAGGTGCTGTGGAGCAAAAAAAAAAAAAAAAAAAAAAAAAAAACAGACGCAAAGGCTTATAGTGGGGGGTATTTCTGGTGTCTGTTACTGCCTCCCTAATATAAATCTAACTCCACAGTTTTTTTTTTTTTTTTTTAACAATTCTACTAGGTCCACCACTCAACAGGACTGAATGTGCCCAACACTGAAAAGGAGCCCAAGGGACAGCTGCAGATCATCTCCTTTGGGATATGCCAGAGTTGTGGCTCTTATTAAGTAAATAAATAAATAAATAGTATCAAAGCTAGACTTCTGTGAATTATGAAAGAGAGAAAGAAAGAAACAAGGGAAAGAAAAAAAGAATGAGGACAGAGAGGAGGGAAGAAGGGCAGGTAGGCTGGAGTTTACAATCCTTGAGATCTACACTGGTAGAAGTTTATTTCATTCTCTTGGGACTAGTTAGTGTACCCTCCCCTGACCCCTCCTAATAAAAATGGCAGCTGTGGTAACAGAACTAGCCATGCTGTGTATGCCTGACTCCTATCCGGTTTGGGTCTGAAACTTGCCTGCTGTTCTGAGGCTGTTGGTGAGTCACCTGTCTCATACTGTTTGGCCATTAACCAAAGAGTTACAGTTTCTCTAGGCCTCAGTTTCTGCTTTTATTGGCATGACATCTCTGAGGACTCTTCTGGCACTAGTTATATGAGTCCATGATTCTGATAGAAGGCCCCAGAGAGGAACAGAGAAGCGTGAAGCAGAGTTTTGTCCTACAGTTCAGCTCCAGGACTCTGGCAGCTGTTGAGGAGGGAGGAGGTAATCCTGCAAGCCCTCAGGCTCTCTAAGCATTTTCAACCTCTCTTTCATCTTTATTTATTGACCCCACCCCCCTACCCCCAACAAAGCTGGCATATGACTAATATTGGTGTTCAACACAACAAATCTTTCCTTTGGTTTATAATTCTAAGTTACCACAGGACATTAGATTCTGCTTCTTTCTTAAGAGCTCTGTCCTAGTGATGGCTGGGAAGATTTCTGGCAAAACCCAAGCCAACTGCCCAAGTCCTCTACAATTATGTGCAACCTATTAGCCAAGGAAGCCATCAGTGAGAAGGGGGTTCTGTTGAAGAGAAGTGGGTCCTCCTTGATTCATTCTTAGCCCTGGTGAGAAACCCTGTAAGGTGAAGACCATATTTAGAAGTGTGTGTGCAAGAGAGACTGTGCAGAGTGCAACCACCCCTTTCCACCAGTTTCCTCCCCCATGCCTACTCTCCAGCCTACAACTCACCCACCAGGCAGAAGCCATCCTTCACCTGCTTGGTTTATTATCATATTTTTGTGTGTGAATACATTCTGTTGATCTGCAATGTCAGATTGGATAATGAAATTTAAATTGGGTCCCTTGGATTTCCAATATAGCTATATATTTGTGCTTCTAACTCTGGGGCTCCTATGTAACTTAAATATATTCTAGAGTGTCAATCACTCAGTACCAGCACCCCATACTGCAGCAGCTTTCTTGGGGATATTTTTTTTTTTCTTACTGAACATTTGCAAAAGCGCTTCCCCAGGATGCAGACAACCTGCATCATTATAGCAAACCAGCTTATCGGTGAGCACAGCCTGATGGACCAAATGCGAGGGCCACTCTGTCCCTTATTTTCTCTGCCCCAGTAACCAGGTCTTTAAGAAACCACCGGAGAAGGGGATATAAGGAGAACAAGAACACCAAATTAATGAACATTGTTTTTACAAATCAATAAGAAAATAAGGATCACTCACTGTATTTCAGACTCATCACAGCAACATCCAGATGGAAATCCAGGTGGTTAAGAACAAGAGAAAACGCATGATCTTGACACCAAAATGAGAGGGAGGAAAAAAAAAAGGTTGATAAAAAAAATCCAACTGCAATTATCCGTCAATTTTAGTCAACATAGGCACAAATCCAACTGTGCTTTGCTGGTTTCTCTCCCCCAATCAATGCCTCATTCTGCCGCGGTCAACTTTTCTTCTCTGAAATTTCTTTGCAGATGTATTATTAATTTCCTCTCCTCTTGTGGGAAATTCAAAAAGAAAAAAAACAACAAGAAGAAGAAGATGATGAAGAAGAAGAAGAACCACCATATCAGGTCTTTTACTTTCCTAAAAAAGCCCCAAACTTTTCACTCCAAAAATATCTCCTTGGCGCACTTTCTCCTTTATAGAGAAAAATGAACATACTTTTCCTTCGTGGATCCGCGTTTTTTCATTTCCAATCATCCTTTTGGGGAGGGGGAGCGACTGTCTTATTATTATTTATTTGTCAGAAACACACCAATCCCCGCAGGTCTGCCCTGGCTTATTTCATTTTTCAACGCTCCCGGTGTACACATACACACATTTGGGTTAAGATCCAGGTCTCAGAAGAAAAAGCTTCGTTCTTCCTTCTCTCTGGCACGATCAGTTTATCCACTGCGTTCGGCTCCCAGAGAGAGCTGCGTCCCGCATTCTTCATTTTTGCAAGGCACCCAGCAGCCACCGCCACCAAAAAAAAAGTCACCTCTTACATAGTCGATTCCTTTTTCTACAACCCCCCCCTTCCAGGAATTTGGGGATCAACTCCCCCCACTCGCTACCCTTCCGGCCGGCCCCTTTGCCAAAGATCTGATTAGATTTCGCATCACAACCCAGTGCGCAATTGGATTTTTGATTTCAGCCACCCGGCCAGCCACCTTCCCCTCTCCCCTCGAAACTCCCGGTTATATCCTGTCTCCTTCCCTCCACCGCCTCTGCAATTTCATAATCTCACGTTAAATGGAGTGCGGGGGGCGGGGGCGGGGGCGGGGGCGGAGGTAGTGGAGGAAAATTTCAAGGCTCCGTCAGCTGTCAAGAAATCCATTCCCCCCCGCCCGCTTCTTTTTTTTTTTTTTTTTAAAGGCTCGGGGTGGCTTTCACTCTGTCCCCGCCCCCACCCCAGCACCCGGTCCAGATCTTCCAGGTGTGGCAGAACTCCGCGATCAGGGCCAGGATCACGGGGGAGACGCGTGATGCGGTCCCTCGCCGGTGGCCCCTGCCAGCACCCAGGTCCCCTTCTCCTCCATCAGCGGACAGCAGATCCAGGGGCGCCAGCGATGGAAGTTCGGACTGGGCTTTTATTTCAAATGGGGAAGGTAGTGGTGGGACCGACGCGGTGTGGAACAAAATTTTAAAAGAAAAAAAGAGAAAGAAAAAAAAAAAAGAAAAAGAAGAAACAGGAACGAAGGTTTTAAAAAGAAAAAAAAATTCCCTAATCGCTGGCTCCTCTCATCCTTCTCGAATGAAACTGCAGCTTTGATCTCATTTCCAGCTGCGTTGGGTACATTTTGGAGCCACAAGTTGGTTCCTCTTGGCGCAGACCTTTCCGACGCCGGCAGGTCCTCCGCGAGGAGACGCGTAGTCAGGCGCACAGCTGCTCCGCGCCGACCTTAGCGCCATCGCCCTGGTTGGCGGCTCCCTACTCCGCAGAAACCCCGGTCCCCTTCCATCCACTTCGGCCGGAACCCTCTTCTTACCCCTTGCTCTCCTCCCACCCCTCCTTTTTCCTCCAAATAAATAAATGCGCTTCCTGCGCCGGCTGCGGCTGCTGCCAGTCTAGGCTTTCTCTCGACCAATTCTCCGTCCTATCATTTAGGGTCCTTGCTCCCCAAAGGCTCCCTTTCGGACTGCAGTCCCTTTCCCTTCTCTTCCCCTCTTTCTTTCCCCTTTTCCCTTTCCCTTTCTCTGCTAGTGATCAGTAAAATACAATTACCCAATTACCTCCCATCATCTTAGCAGTGATTGGTCAATTGCATTAACACTTGAAGTCAGGGAAGAGGGGGTTGGAGCCTCTAAGGTGTGGCACTGCTGCCACCTGGAGGGCAGAACCGGAACAGCGGCATTTCAAAGCATACCCCCCCACCTCCCACCTCCACCATCACACACACTCCCCATGCTAGGAGGTTAGTATTAGGCAAAGAAATTCAGGCTGTGAGGGAGAAGTTGTCAGTTTTTTTTTTTTTTCAAAAAGCCTGCTTGTTTTCATCCGGAAAGCTAGAAGTTTTGAACTACAATGTGGAAGATATTGAAATCAAGTCACCATTAGGATTCAAAATGATCACCAAACACAAAAGCTGTTACTTTCAGATTGCAAGGTGAGAGCCTCTTGGAAATGAAGCAGGCTGGTCCCAAGGCAGGGATTAACATAGTACTATTCTGTAGAACTGGCTCCTCAGAAAGAATCAGAAGTAGCTCAAATGTTACTGGGGAGGGAGCCTGTGGTCGGGCAGAATAATCTCACCAGAAGGAAGCAACTGTAAAGGCCAGATAGGAGCCTTCAGCCTATGCAGTGTTGCAATAAATTGGCCTGTTCAGTTTGTACAAGACATCCACGACAGCTTGACAACTCAATTCCACATCCCTTGCTCCTAGATGTGGGCTTTCCCATCACCTAGAGTTAGGGAGGCAGTTGGCACATTTCAACTTCACTAGTCTCCTAAGAAGGAGGGACGTGGCCCACAAAACAAAGATATTCACACTATGTTTATATTTGCTTTCTCTTTCCACTATGTACTACTCATAAGGTCCTTTCTATGAACTATGGTTGTTCCTTTTATGTCATTCAAATAGGAGACCTTGAGATTAGAAATGCATAAAACTAGGAATGATAATTCAAACGACAACAAAAAATTAAATCTGAGGCAAAGGGGGGGGTTGATAAATATTTCTGTTTCATGTTTTGTATGTAATGATCTTTGTGCTGATTTTCTTTGTTTTTGAGAGATCAGAATATGTACTTAGTTTAAAAACACTTTAAAACAAAGAGAGCAAACCATTATGAGAAGTAGCATCAGTCAGAAAAGCCTTTTTACTAAAGGAACATCAGAGGCATATCCAAGTTCACGCCAGATGTTCTTTCTACTTTTTTCCTGTTTCCTTTATAGTACAATATATAATTCCATGCTCAGACTTAAAAAAATTTTCATCTATAAGTTTCTTAGGGGGCTAAAAATTTTCTGTGATATGGACCTTAGATATAATAACCTGCAAACAAAAGATCTTTCCTCACACATGGATTGTAATTCATTAAAATCCCTCCACCTGTTTGAAGGTTTTCATGTAATTATTAATCATGTCAAAATGCATATCTGTTGAGGGGGATAGGCATTGCTTCTATTTTTAATAAATGCTGCACTGATTGAAAACATTAATAGGCAGCTGAGTACAACTTCAATTTGTGGGTTTTATTAAATAGTTTTGCTCTGAAGGGCAATTTTTTAAGAATTTTAATTTTTTGTGGTGCTGATGATGGAACCCTGTGCCTCCCACATGCAAGGTGAGTACTCTACCACTGAGATACAACTCCATCCCTAATTTGTGTTTTTTGATTGCAGCTTATTAACAACTAAACCATGGAAAAGCATATTCACTATCTTCTCTAGATGGCTTCAGAGGAGTCTACACTCTGGTTCAGAACTATGCTGGAAAACATGAGAGATAAAAATGTATATTTTAGGGGTTTTGACTGCAAGGGAAAAGGCCAGTGATTTGTTTATTCAGAGCTGGTTAATAGCTATCTACCAGACATCTTTAACACCCCTTAGAATGAATTAATCTATTGAACAAAAACAGCAGGGAAGTATCAGTGTTAGTTAATCAAAAAGGAAAAGCAAGGAGTCCTCATTCCTGTTAGCTATCACACCAGCAGCAGCTGCTGCAGTACCTTTTCCCACATCTGCTATTTATTTGCACTATAAGAACTTGACTTAGTTATTTGACTTTCATTTTTAGATTTAGCTTCAACTGGTAATTATATACACAATATGTTGCTAGATTTCTCACATTAAGCCCACTGTTAAGGATTGGGGCAGGGCATCCCACCCTCAATGGAAGGTCCCTGCAAAGTTATATAACACAAGAGACCAAAGAACCAGGGTGGTCATCACAATCAACCACACCCTCTATCTCTGACATCACCTTATTTAATACTCAAAGCCACCTTCTGAGAGGTTTTGAGGGTATGGAAAGTGAAATGCAAAGTCACATACTCTGGTAAATGACAGGCAAGCTTTGAACTCAGAGCTATGCAATTTCTAATTTTCTAGTTTTGCTTTGACTTCGAGGTGGTGGGTAACATGGGGAATGCCTCTAAGATAGCCAGAATCACACAGTCATCAGCACTGATTCCTAGAGATGAACTTGTAACCCTGTGGGGAAACGGCATTGTCACATTTGTCACTGAATGACCTTACTCAAAAAAAAAATTTTTTTTGAAATAAATAGTGAATAAGCTAAATGTCATAAAACTACATGAGCAAATTTAATCACTGTTAAGAACAATGTAAATATAGATAGTTATACAGTAGAGGTTGCTAGGTACTGTCAATAATGACAGGGTCTGTGTTCAGGTAAAATTCATCATAAAAGCTCTGTTAGAAGAAATAATTGTCTAATCAGTAATTGGTCACATCTTCATACTCTCAATTAGTCTGTCTAGTTATCAGGGAAAGGGCAAAATGCCATTGGAATGAGATGAGTTGGAAAAGGAGAGGCAGGGGTGAGCATGACATGGACATACAGAGCTCCACCCTGATTCTCTGATTTCCAGACATCTGAGCAGTGAAACACAATTACCAAATTATTTTACTGTGTGTTGGTGACTCTAACTAGTGTAATCTTTAGCAAACAGCAGGGGACAGTATCTTGTAATCAGAAATACAAAATAGGAAGTAGAATGAATTCAGTAACTTTGCTTAAAAATTAAAAAATATAGAAGTGTGTATTGTGTTTATTAATTGGATTTAATAGTCTGTAGGCTACTCTGTTGAAGAAAAATACATTCTTAAGCAGTGAAGCTTTATTCTGTGTTATTCATTCTGGAAATTGATATTCACTTTTTACTTCCAACACTATTACACTAGGACCAGAATATCCTGTAAAATAAGTGCACCAAGCTTGCCTCTATAGTTACACAAGTTGACATGAGTTAACTTCATCAGATTCACTTTTATTTATTCATTTATTTATTTTGTACTAGGCCTTGAATTCAGGGGGTACTCTACCACTATATCTGTTAGTCTTTTTCGTTTTTATTCTGAGACAGGATCTCACTAAATTGTAAAGGTTGGATTCAAATTCGTCATCCTCCTGCCTCAACCTCCTGAGTGGTTGGGATTTCAGGGATGCACCACTGTGCCTAGTAGATTAACTTCTTTTTTAGAAATGACTTTGATGTTAAAACACCAAAATTAGTGGGGATTTACAACATGGTGGTGCTAGATAATATTTCATACATGTTGTAGTCCAGAGCTAGAAGATCCTAACAGCCATCTATTCTTCATTCCTTGAAAATATGGATAAGGAGCCAAAGGTCCCAGTACATTTGCAAATCTCTACATTTTTGAAAGGTCTACCCTTCATGATGGCTGCCCCAATATCCAGTCCTCACCCCACATAGTCTTACTTTCCTGTGCTCTTATGCTTTTAAAAATATGTACCAATAATGAGCATTTAATGAGAGCTAACAAATACCAAGCATAAGTAGATTACAAATTTCAGCTCATGTTATTGTCCAGCCATGTAAGGTAGATAGCATTCCATATCATTTAAGAGAAATTGGGGTTGAAGTTAAATAAAAGCACCCAGCTAGGCAGTGAAGAAGGCAAGATTGTAGCCCTGATTAATTCACTTCAGAGACTGTGGGTGTTAACAAATACTTATAATGGGTAGAAATAATTTGCTCCCAGTCTGTATTCCCCTGTAAATCATGATAGATCTCAAAAGTGCATTTTCACATTTCTAATGCTTTGTATATTTTTGAGTGGATAAATGCCTAAGATTATGATATTAGAAAATGGAATGGCCTACATCTTTTCTCTCTTATCCAATATTCTTTCCACTGCAGTCTACAAAATGTTAGAAAGATGAGATACTTTTTACAATCATTGAAATATAAAAAAAAAAGAGAAAGAGAAAATGAGACCAAAAGAGATGATTTCATCAGAGAAGTATATGACTTGTGAATCAGTTAGCAATTGATTCTCGATAAAGCAGGCCATGACTTAGTAGCTGAAAACAACAATCATTTATTTCTCAGGAGTCTGAAGGGCAGAGACTGGTTAAGTGGCTCTTCTCATCTTGGCAGGCTCCGTGTTTGATGATCTAGAATGGTCTTGGCTAGGGTCACTGGGCCAACCAGTACAATCCGTGACTCACTCTCCCCCTTCATCAGTTTGGCCCAAGCATAATTCCTGTCACTGGCAAAATTCCAAGAGAGCCAACAGGAAAGGGGATGAGTGTTTTTTTCAAAATTCAGTGTGAATTGGATCAGTTGATTTCCCACTGGACAAAGCATATCACTTGGTTAAGCCCACTGTTAAGGATTGGGAAAGGGCATCCCACCCTCAGTGAAAGGTCCCTGCAAAGTTATATAACATAAGAGAGCAAAGAACCAGGGTGGTCATCCCAATCAACCACATCCTCTATCCCTGACAAAGAGCATATTTCCTTAGTGATTACTGGGTTTTACTGCAAGAAAATTTTCCATGTTTGGCACAATTTAAACAAATTATTTATTCCAACAGATGAATCATAACTTTCCATTATGTGCAAGGTCTGATGGAAGACCTAACTACTCAGTTGTCCCAACTTTCTTGATGACATTTGTTGCTGTTGTTATAGGAGTGGTTCACATATCTACCTGTTGTTTTGTGTTATTTTGCAGAGACCAGTTTCAATTTCCTGTGCAGACTCTTT